GTGCAGCAGCCGCAGCAGCAGCAGCGGCGGCGGCGACAGGCGCGCCGGACACCAGCACCAGCACCATCAGCCCATCTGCAAGATCTGCTTCCAGGGCGCTGAGCAGGTGAGGCCCGCGGGACCCTGGGCGAGGGGCGGCGGGCTGGCCCGAGCTGGGTCGGCTCGGAAGCCGGGGCGGAGATTTCAGCACCGCGGACAGCGCAGCGCGCCTCCCGTTCCTCTCCGGGTGTTTTGCGTCCCGCCTCCTGAAACAGCCCGTGTGCGTTCCCCTTCCCCTACCGCGAAGCCAGGGACAGTGTTCAAGTGCCGGCTACAGGACTGATTTGATCTGCACTTTTTCCTTTCTACCTGGTTTTGCAGTTACACGTTCTTAAAGTGCGTAATGCTGACTGTAAGGCCATAAGTATCTCTTGTGAATTACTCCAGGGGTCTTGGTTCACACTTAGAAACAAACATAGGCTAACAGTTGAAGTCTGTTTTCTATTAAGACACCCTGAGATGGATAGTCTGAGGATAAAACCTGGAGGTGAGTCATGTCACAATCAAAAACAGCGGGGTTTTTCGTTATTGTAAATTTTTTTTTTCCTTAGTGTAAATTTTGGCGATCAGATCTCACGGATGTGATACACGTGCTACCATTCCTACAAAAAAAAGGGAAAGTACTTTAAAAGAAAAGCTATTTAGCCAACCGCGTACTTTATACTGTGTTTGAAGCCGAATTCTAAAAGTGTAAACACCACTAGAGGGGCATGTAAACTAATATGACAGTAATTATGCAGAAGAAAGAAAAATACTATCTCTCTTATAGAATGTGTGGTCTGAGAAAACATTAGGTTTAATATTTTTAAAAGTAAGGAAATTGCATGAGAATACACAGGCTTTTAGGATTATAATGCTGTAAGTCAATATTTATGATGCTACATTTAGAAAAAATAAAAGCATAATGCTGTTGCAAACTGCTCTCTGGAATGCCATGCACTTCTTTAGCAATGATTAAGAATAACTGCAGAGGAAATGCATCTGACCATCCACTTAAAAGTTATTACAGAGATTTAATAGTACAGCTTTCCCCCAAGGGTATTGGGAGCTATATCTTGCAGACATTTTGTATGTTGGGAGAACATTTATGTCATAACTCTAAGCAATATCTTTGAAATAGTTGTAAGACTTTAGGTTGATTCCCATCAGAGGTATAAAATTTTAATTTGATTTTCTAGGATAGAGCTTGATGGTTGTATCCTTCTGGGTAAATGGCTCTGAAAGAAAATAAAGCAGGCATTGCATTTCTAAAGAGAGACACAGATATTCACCCTGAGATGTTTTCCTTCCAGGGTGAGCTGTTAAACCCTTGCCGATGTGATGGGTCCGTTCGGTACACACATCAGCTGTGCCTGCTAAAGTGGATCAGTGAACGAGGCTCTTGGACCTGTGAGCTCTGCTGCTATAGATACCACGTCATAGCTATTAAAATGAAGCAACCTTGCCAGGTAACCACTCACCTTTGTTTTGTTAACACGCATGCACTGGAGTGTAGCTCTGACTCAGGATATTTACTTATGCTATTTCAAAAACATTTGAGGCTGATTATAATAAAACCAAGATTTAGAATTTGTAGCGATCGTGCTTTGAGAAAGCCGTGATGTTTTATCTGAGAAACTCAAGTTTTAATAAAATGTTTTCCTTAATTACTTAATTACTCATCAAACTATACCCAGTTTTGTGTTTAAAGGGGCAAGTTGGTAAAAGGCCATGTACTACATTCAAATCCATTTTGTTAATTAGGAATGTTAGCAATTTGTTTTAATAGTGTTTTGAGTTCTAGTGAGCTCCATTTATAGAAAACAGATGCAAGTAAAGTGGTATAGAAAATTTAGTTGAACCTATTAGTTCTGATCTAATTTTTCTTAGTTCAACCAGTCCTCCTCTTTTCTGAGACAGGATTTAACTTTATAGTTCAGGCTGGCCTTGAACTCATGCCTTGAACTCACTATGTAGCCCAAGTTGGCCTCAAACTCATGGTGATATTCCTGCCTCAGCCTCCTGAGTACTGGAATTATGGAGTGTGCCACCCTGCACCGTTTAGCTTTCTTTTTCATAAGAGATTTTTTTTCATGGTTAAGTTTTGTCTACTTTCATTTTTTGCTGTATCTAACCTTACAGTGGATGTAGAATTATCACCAAGTCACTTTCAATAGTACTACTAAAATTGTATGCATTTTTAAACTTTTGTATAGTCACATAATAGCACTGAACCACAAACTCACAAATGTCCTGAAAAATGGGCTTTTTTCCCTTCTTAATTTCTCTTGGGAACTGATTCAAGATTTTTGCATAGGCGGGTGGAATATAAAGTGCAAAATGTGACATCTTTTAAAAAAGTAGGCTTATGTGTAATCAATAAGATCTGTTAGTGAGATGGGGCTGAAACTAAATAGACATAAAAGAAAAGATTCAAAACACAGAGACAAAGGATATAAGGAAGGAAAGGGCAGAAGGAATTGAAAAGTTGCGGGGCAAAATAGTAATAAAATCTAGTGTTCCCTATTTCTGTCTAAATTATCAAGCTTGGTTTGCATTGAGCAGTAGAACATATATAAAACCATAATGTTTGCAGGAAGAATCGGGAAGCTGATTTATTAGTGCCTTAATAATTTAAATTTCAGTTTTAAATCTATGCATTCTTCATATGGTTTGCTGTTAATTATCTTCTTGATAATTGCCATTGAAGGCATTAGTTAGCCAGCATGGAGTGAAAATATGAAATTCTTCAAGCTGACCGGAGGCCCGTGAATTCTTTGGAAAGAGGAAGCATAAGTGATGTGGACGAGTGATGTCATTATGCTGAAGATAGATATGAACAAGAGACATTTTCCCAGAACCTCTAATTGATTGAACTACTCAAGTATCAGTTTATGGATCTTTCATAACTCTCTTGAAAAACAGATGGAACCATATCCAAATCTCAGGATGTGGTTAATGTAACTGCATCTTTAGCAATTTTATGAATAGAATATATGAGAAGAGCAAAGAAGGGAGAGTTTTATTGTTCCAGGGAAAAGTCCAGTGATAAGGTCAGCTTAAAAGCTGAAACAGAATGCAAAGTATTTTGAAAACTCTAATTCTGGACAATATATACTAATTCATTGGGTATGATTAATTTTGAAGTAAATAGAAATAGATCTTTGATAAACATTTTAAGATAAAAATAAAAACATGGCCAAAATACTATTTACTAATTGTAATTCTGTAGAAAAAATTACTGTCTATAGTGACCATCTGTTGGCTTTTTAAAAATTCAATAAATAAACAAAAGCAATTCTTCAAACTGTATATAATATGATCCTCATCCTCCACCCAAAAAAGAACCAAAAGCCACAAACTAACCTGATGTTACTGACACACTTAGGCTTAATTTTGTTTTGACATATAAATGCTATGATTTGTAACTTGGTCTGACTTTTCCAGTGAACTGTGAAAATAATAGCTAGAAACAAGCTTCATATGAATTTGATGATAGCTGAAATTATTGCAGAGATTAAATGACTTTCCATGACTACCCAATATATATAAGACTTGGCACTTTTGATGAACAGAAATCAGTTACAGAGTTTCCAAACATGGGGTCTTATACATAGAAGTAATGTATTCTGAAATGAAGATGGATCCTTGAGCAACATTTCTATTCTGGATGACCCACAACCTAAGTACTGGCTCTGAGTTTTGGCTTTCTCCTTTGCTGGTGCGTGGCCAATCAAAGTTAGCATTTACTACATTCATATTTCTGTAGCATGGTCAAAATTCGCTTCCTCATGGCACAGAATCAAGTGGCATATTTATATCCCTCCCCTTCCCTTCCATGAAGTGTGGTCCTAAGGATAGAGTCATTCCTCAGCTGGGAGCAGGTGCTCCCTTGCATGTGGAACAGAATACAGAATGAGAACATTTAGTGAACATTTACTCTGTGCCAGGCACTGTTCAAGTGCTGTACATATATGGGTACTGATACTTAATCTTCGTAACAAACCAGTGAGGTGAGAAATATGGCTCCAGGGTCCAAGGTCTTAGCCACTGTATCAGAAAACATTCTTCTCATTCCCTTCCTGCTATTTTGATGTTTCTGGGTCTGTTCAGACTTGTCAGGTAAGAATTGGTTTCAGCCTGGATCTCTGAGTGGGTTTGGAAAGTTTGTGATTATCTTTTGGCAGGTAACAAAGCACCTCAGTACTTCGTGCTTTAAACACCTACTACTGTTTACTACCCAAGAGTCTTTGTGTTGGCTGAGGTCATCTGGGAGGTTCCTTTTCACCTGTGGTGTTGCCTGGCACCTTAATCCAGGGTGGTGCATTCATTTGTCTTGTTCTTCGTGCTGCCGCTGCCTTATTTCCTCAGCATGTGGTGGAGGCTGCAAATCATTTAGGGCCCAACCTTGGAAATGACATGGTTTCACGGCCGGTGTAATTTCTTGTGAAAGCAAATCACAGGAATCGTTCCAATTCACAATAAGGGGAAATAGATACCACCTCTGGCCCTTCTTTCAAAGAGGTTGCCCACCTTTCACTCACCATAGCAGATACCTTGTGAAGTGGCTCTCCATACTTGCCCTGGTCTCTATTTTGCCTTCATCCGGTCCAGATGGACTAGCACCCATCAACATAACTTCTCTCCTGGGGCTCAGAACCAAAGGGAATTTTAAAAAATGTGGAAGATTGACTCCAGCAATGGTGTTTGCTGAATATCCGTAAGTGCTTTTAAAAGTGATTATTACCAGGATGTTCCCTGGTGCGCACTGGGAGATGGGCAGCAGGAAGCAGGGGAAACATGTCAGCATGGGAAACATGCGTCAGAGTCTCGAACCTTAGCTGGACTTGTTTTTCTCAAGGAGATAAGAATTCCTTGAGAACTCAGGTCTAAATCTAAATCCATTTCATTGGATTTCAGTGATGTTCATCAGTGTGCCACAAAAAAAAAAAAAAAAAGGCAGCAGACATACTCTTTACAGCATATTTAAATCTTAATTGCCACATCATTAGCAGCAGGAGTTAATTAGGATATTTGGGGGAGTTAAAACACATTTACCTTCCTACCAACTTGTGGAATCCATTTTATTTATTAACATATCTAAGATATGCATTAATGATGTCTTAAATGCAAAATGAATTCTACTTTGAATTTCATAGTACAGAATGGTCTAAAAGTGATATTGCTTATCACTTTTTAGACATATGCAATAATATATGTGATCAAATTTACTTTGAGGTGTTGGTGACATAGATTAATTAAGCCATATTTCAGTTTATTAGTACAGTACTTTCCGTACTTTCCAAGATATATGGATCTTTGAGGATATAACATTTATTAAGTGGATATTGTATGGGAAACTTTATTTTTTATTTTTATTTTTGTCTTTTTGAGACAGAGTCTTGCTGTACAGTGCAGGCTGGCCTCAAACTCACAAGATGCTCCTGCCTCAGCCTTCTGAGTGCTGGGATTACAAGCATGTATGCGCCACCATGCCTGGGAAACTTTAAACTTGTTATAAAATCATGTATGGGAAACTTTAAACTTGTTATAAAAATCAGACTGCACTGCTCACAAGTAGAAAAAAAAAGGAAATGGAAAGTAATAGCAGCAAGCTACTACTTACGTAGATAAGCTACTTAAACTCTGTGTCTCAGTTCACATATCTTTAAAAATGATAATGGTACTGTACATTATTTTGTGGATTCGATACATAAATATATGTGAAACACTTAGATCAGTGCCTGGCACAGAGTATAGGTCATAGTGCTCTGGGCTCTGACCATGATCACCTGTTCAGTCTGCTGAGAGGGAAGGACCTGCAGCTGCCTCCCACCCGGCTCGCAGAGAGACTGATTTCCTTCTGTCTCTCATCAACAAAGTGAAGTTAATGACTCCTCTTTTCCATATCATTCATTCTTAAGTTCAATTTTAATTGACAAAAACAGTAATTGCATACATTTTTAGAGTACAAGATTTTTCAGTGCTTGTATCCATTATAGAATGATTAAATCAGGCCAGTGAGCTTATCTGTTACTTCAGAAATTTATCATTTCTTTGTGATGAGAGCATCTATCTCTTTTAGCTATTTTGAAATATACAAACTGTTATTAACTGTAGTCATCACGCTGGCTAATAGAACTCCAGAACTTAGACCGCTTATCTAACTGTAGCTTTGTACTGATTGGCCAGTGCCTCCCCTTTCCTGTCCCTCACCCCCACCCCAACCTCTGGTAATCACTATTCTACCGGCTCCTTAGTGGCTTCGATTTTTCATAGATTCCACACGAGTGAGATCATGTGGTTGTGATGTCTGCGCTGGGCTTATTCCACTTAACATACTGTCCTCTAACTTCATCCATATTGACACAAATGACAGAATTTTCTGTTCTTGGTTTTGTTTTCTGTTTTTCTTAAGGTTGAGTAATATTCCACTGTGTCTATATACTATATATATATTTTTTATCCA